CTAGCATGGGGTACCTAATAAAGTGGCCGGTATATATATATATATTTGCTTGACAGAACTATTAGTACCTCAAGTGTTTGTACTTCAGTTAGATATAAACAAAATATAAAAAAATATCTGCTCAACAGATGTTAATTGAATGCATACATTTGCTGTTTAAGAAAATACATTATTTGAAATTAGTTCGTTGAATTGAATGTAGAGAGAGAATTTTTAGAGTGGTTCAGTTTCAGACCAAAGTAGTTCCAAAGTTAAACCTGAGTTATCTCTTACTGCGCCTCAGTTCTGCTTCCTTCCGTACTGTAGAACCGAGAAAAGTTTTTATTGCCTCATCTTGGCAATTTTTTTTTAAAGCAAAGGGGCACTTGTAAATGATTTCATTTTTTTTATTCTCATTGTTTCTGAATCTTACCATCAACATTGTGAAAAATCCCTGAATTAAATTCTTCCTCAAACACCACCTGCTGTTTAAATCATCCTTAATACAGAAAGGAAGAATGCCAAAGAGGAATGATTACACAGCCTAAAAAATAGAACATATTCTGGCAAGTTGTATAAAACCAACTTTTGCACCAGAACTGTTTTGATGGAAAATACATTTAACAGCTATTATTAAACTGTATTTAATATATGATACAAGGGGTATTTCATGGATTATCAACTAAATAAGAGCCCTAATTTTCAAAGAATGGACCTTTACTGTTACGATGGTGTTTAGGGCTACCCTGCTAGTTCCCTAAGATCCATTGATTCACAGCATCAGCTACTGAGCTCCCCTCCAGAGACTCTATGACCAATCCTATATCGGGTGTCATTCTCTTGCCTCTAACTTGTGACCTTTCCCTTTGTAGGCAAACTTTAAAAGCGCCTCAACTCCTTGATTGTGTTTTGTTTATTCATGAGCACATGGCTCTTCAGGGATGCTGCTGATGTCCTGTAGTGTTTTTGTATAACAGTCTGGTCTAGAATGGGACTGTGTTCACAATTGGCCACTGGACCAGTGTCAGATAGCATCAGAGTATGTGCTTTTGTGTGTCAGGGCAGATAACGGTTATCCTTGGGATGGGTGCGGTGCAGGTCATTGTGAGCTATCCAGAAAGCAACAGCAGTCCAGCCAGTTCAACAGCCAAACAGTGTTCATTTGCCCATGTCACATTTTAGCATAAGCAGGTCTGTTTTGGTTTGCTATGTTGCACCCATGCCTCAGTGATGCCCACTGTGCTGTGATAGTTTTGTGATGGTGCACAATTTTTCTCTCGTTATTTTATTATTATTTTTTTTTTACTGCTCTGCCTTTTTTATACGACTGTGCAGATGTTTTTTGGTCCGACAGGCATGAATTGTATTCATCTTACTGTTGGTGCTCATTGTTCCTCCTCTAACATAACTGGGCACAAACCTAACAAACAAAAAACAGACAAATAAAATGACTCTCAAGATAAAACACCTTCCCACTTTTCTGGATCTTCAATTTGGTGGTCAGTCAGCCAAGTTAGCTGCAGAAAGACAGTCGGACTGATGACAGGCAGCTGGGGGATAGCAGACAGATAGCAGCTGGCTCATGAACCAAGGGAAGTCAAGCTTTCATTTCACAGCAGGAAAAAGAATTAGAGAGTTGAAACTGAATAATTGAGCTTGTTGAAGCTGAGAGGGTAACTGGGGGGATTCATTCATTGGACAGAGGTAAATGTGTTTGCCTTGACTGGTCCTTATGTAAATCTGTGAGTGACAGGGCTTTGAATAAATTCGAAAGTAGGCTTGTTTCTTTGCGCGTGTGCATTTCTCTTGGACCGAATTACAAAGTCAGATGTGCACATCACAAACCCTGCTTAAAGATGGTTTCTGCAAATCCAAGGATAACAAGGAGTTGGTGACGCTTTAGCTTTGGATGCAAAGGACACAGAAACATCCATGAAATACAGACGGAAGATGTTGTAAAGGAATATTTGCAAGAATTAGAATGTGATTGAAAGCTCCATTCCTGTAAGTCAAAAAAACAAAACAAAAAAAAAAACTGTTTTTTTTTTTTTTTAAGTTGTCATTACACTGTCATAAGTATAGAGCAACAAAATGAACCCTCTGCATTTAACCCATCCCCTTGGGGAGCAGTGGGCTGCTATTGTGCAGCTTCTGGGCAGCAGTGTTGGGTTAAGGACCTTTGCTCAGGAACACGGAGTGGCAGTCCGTGGGAGTGGGGCTCGAACTCAGAACCTCAGGATTCCTACCATAATGCCCAAACCACTACGCGCCACTCCCCAAAGCAGGCATTAGCGTGAAGGGTCTTGCCTAAGGACCCACACTGGCACCTCATTCCCCCCAGCTGGGAGGTAGCCAGCCACTTATTTAATGTCTTACTGAAAAATATGTCACCTTGGTAGGTCAACAATCATTTATTCTACTAATTTGGATTCCTTTTTTTTTATTTTATCTAAAAATATTGTCACATTTTACCAAAGAAGATTTAATAATACAAAAAAAATCAATGTTGAGGCTTAAACAACAATCGCTAAAATAGCTAATTTCACTCTACAAGGTACTTTAGCTTCAATGGTTCATGGCCTATGAAGCAGAATGCTTCCAGAAGGTGAGAGGAAGAAATAGGTGTGCAAGCTACAGGGATAAAAAACAACTTGTGATCAATAGCCATAGTTGAGTTGTTCATTGACATTTATCTTCAGTAGACATTTCAAGATCAGAAATTTAGTTTTGAATTTATCTAATGTAAATAATAATAATAATACATTGTTTTTCTTCTACTAGTCATGTAGGTTGTGTAAGCTACATTATATGAAACTAAACCACTGAAATAAGACTATATGTCCCATATTCTTGCAGCAGATATATATTTTTAAAGCCCTAAATAAGAGTTTTACTTATTCGCCCACCTTGCCTTGTTCTAGTCTAGTTGCTTAGCTCTACATGAAGAAACATAACTTATGCAGTGGAAGGGTCTCTGCTGCATAGTGGGAACTCTTGTTGTGCGTTTCCAGCCCAGATCCCACTGCTGTAGAATGTGTGTCCACGTGTGAATGGCTTCCTGTGTATCCATGTGTGCCAGCGTACATTGCCCTTTGAATGGGGCGCCTGTGTGAATCTGTTGCATGTGTAGTTGCAGAGACAGTTAATGCGTTGATAGGTCTGTATGGGTGTCATGTTCCTTTGATATCCCATGTAAATACTGAGCTCTGATTAATTCACCTTGGCCAAGTCATAGTTCTGCGTTGATACAATAAGATTTCACAGTCTAAAGCACTACTAATGTCATACTGCATTTGTTTATGATTACGTTTTTTGAATATGTTAAATGTAAACTTTTCCTCCATTTATTTTCTTTTCAAGTATGGGACCCTCAAGAATTCCTTGATTTATAGTTAAAAAAATCACCATAGCTCCTTTATTTTCTATAAGTTATTGAATTAAATTAAAATTAAAAACATGTAATAAAAAATATACACAGTATTTTTCCTAGTATATGCATGTAAAAAAAAAAGTAAAATTAACTTCGAATTCAATATGAATTCAATATGAAATTATTATCAATATGTTCACTGTAGTCAAAATATTAATAAAAAGTGAATATCTGGATTAAGCTGCTGTTATCTACTATAGATTTTTAGGTAAATGATTTTAATTTGGTATTCCTATACCCTCAACTATAGCATACCTAAAGTGCAAATATAATAAACTGACATCAGCAGGTTAATTAGTCGGCTATGCGTTCTAGTATTCAGCTTGTAGATAATGACTAAACGGAAATGTCCCCCTTAACTTCTCCACTGTAGTTTTGAAATATTTTTAGCTTGATAACAGTAATGGTGACTCTCATTTAGCTTTAACACAATGACGTTTTTAAAAAGAACAAAAAAACTTTCACAGGGCCTTTTCTTTTAGCAAAGTGTAATAACTGTCTTTTAACAAGCTGACCAGCAATGCACATGTGAGTTGAGGTGATTGCTGTTCTGTGTGCTTCAACATCTGGAGCAAATTGGTCCCTCTGGTACTTTCTATCGAACCTTGTTAAAACTAAAAATAAAACTCCACCTCAGCTAAATTTGATTTGTATAGTTTTACACGTTTGTGTTTTTAGATTTATTTAGCAAATCAGGAAGAAGTAGATTTGTCAACTTATCTGCTCAGGTTGTTACTTGTCAACTTTCATTTCAAAATAGAATGACCTAATTAAACTAGCAATGGCTCCATTATTTAAGACTCCATTACTCTGTTTTTTTCTCTTTTTTTCCCTAAAAGTATACAGAAACAGACAAATTTGTCAAATTTTTAACTAAAAAGAAAATGACCTATTTTCTTTATGACTTGCTCGTCTTGACTTACTGCAATTTAAGTCATTGTTTTGTGGTTGAGTGCAGGCTTCCTTAAAAACATTGACACAAAAAGATTTATGATGCTCACAAGCAAGTGACGATATAGTAGTAATTATAGTAAAATTGTCTTAGAAAGTAAAACTAAATATCAGTTATCTTCAGCTTTTTCATAGATACAAATTGAAATTGACATGTTCCATAAAGAATTATTAGAAATAGGAATATTTTGTACTGTTGTTTTGAATTTTCGTCAAGGATGGTTTAAATTTTGAGTGTTTTTTTTTTTTCCTCAGCCTATGCTTACACTTTCCCCCTTGCTTTGCACAACCAAAGCTGAGTACTGGATCAAAATTGGCTCATGTTGGTGTTTAAAAAAAATCTCTTCTTTTGCAGTGTTGGCCAGTTTCCGAGGGACCGTCCAGCATGGCCTCCCGCTGGAAATCGGAGACACAGTGCAGATCCTGGAGAAATGTGAAGGTATGCTACGCACAGTGGATGCATACAACAAGCTGTTTTCTCAGAAAGCAAAGGAAAATAGACATGGACACAGAATACTCGATGTAAGGAAACCATTTGCTTCCGCTTGAGTGAATACCCAGAAACATGCAGAATCACTTCTGCTTCTCATTGGCAAGATATTTTCAGGATATGATGTCACCTCTTTTCATAATTTCCACAGCTAAAATACTTACACAGTATAAATATATATATATATATATATATATATATATATATATAAGTATATATATATATATATATATAAGGACAGTACAGCAACATCCAAATTAGGATATTTACATTTACTTTAACGTACACATGGTGAAGATTTACATCACTTACACCTTGCCTTCCAGGGGATTCACACCCCTTAATCTACTGGACATATTGTCATTACAAACACAAACTTTAGTGTATTTATTAGAACAAAATTAAAGCAGTATTGTTTTGCAAATAAAAACCTGAAAAATGTGATTTTTCTTTTATTTGATACCCCCAAATTAAATAGAGTGCAGCTAATCACCTTCAGAAGACACCTAATTAGAAGTTAAAGTTAACTGTGGTTGCGTATTTGTGCTCTGGGGATTATTTTGTTTAGCAGGGACAGGGAAGCTGTTTAGAGCTGAGGTGCCAAAATATGAAACAATTCAATGGCCATTAATGCTTTTGTGGAGGCATGTTATGATGCAATATGTGCTGAAAAGTAGGCAGCATCTCCTGCACTATAAAGGTCTGCAGAGATTTGTGTTAGCCATATTTTCCTGCAGCACAGACCTTTTCCCAGCATCCTGAATCTGTTTTTCTCTTCTGCTCACTTCTCTTTTAAACTCTGCAGTTTTTTTTTCTTTTATGGTTCTCCACTTTCTTGTGTTTTTCTCATAATCTCTTTGTGTCTTGCATGTTTGACTTGTGAGAGTTTCAGAAGAATCTAAAATCATTTCATTGCAGGACAGTGCTATCCCCACAAATAACCAGCCGTGCAAAAACACACAGTCACCTCAGCCTCTTCCGGAGCTTGTTTCTCACTTCCTTTGTGGAGATACAAAAACATACTCGCACATAGGAGCACACACACACATTCACTGAAGGACAGCAGGCAGCCATGCATCTTGCCAGTCAGAGGGATGTGATATTGTGGTAAGGGACCCAGAGGAAGTAGACAATAGCTGAGCCAGTTGAATGCTCTGCCCAGAAGGGAGGAACTAAATCAAAATCCTGCCAACAGCGAAGAGACAGGGGGACCAGCTTTTGTCAGCAGAAGAGACAGACTAATGCCTCTGACTCATGTTGATACTATTGACACTTCTAAACACACAAGCTACCAGAGCGTCTGTAATGGCTGCCAACTCCTGTCTGATAATATAACACCTCAGCTATTGATTTTTGTCAGTCTGAAGCTTTGTTTTAGTAAATTCCTGTTGTAATTGAATACATAGACTCCTGTAAACTGTTTAAAAACAAGGAAAGGTTCAGTCTGGCAGAGCAATAAAGCCCCAATGTTTTACAGGGATGGTTCAGAAATGTAAAATCTGTTTAAAGCAATGATTCCCAGATGTGGAGGCGTGACACTCATGATCAAGCATTATGGAGTCTTGACATCCACTACAAGATTTAAACTAAACAATAAACATTTACATTTAGATATAGAATATATAAAGAAATCACTTGCAAATGGGGAAAACAATCTACTTTAATGGTTGATGCAATGCGTTATATTATTACACCAATGGTTATTTGATTTTATAGAAATGTTTTCGACCAGTAGTTTGGGTCATGAGTTTGGGTCTGGTACAATTTTGTGGGTTGGAACCTGAAAAGTTTGGGAACTTCCTGTTTGATCGATATAAGTCACCAATATATTATGTGCTTATTTGGGATAAACAGGAAAATAAAAATACAAACCATTATATTGCTGGAACCATTATGAAAAATATGTTGCATAATTTCTTTAATTCAAGGCAGAAAAGTAAAATTTGACAAATGTATTAATCTTGACACTAGAAATGTAATAATATGAGAATTTTTCCTAAATACCAGCACATTCATGTTTTTTAAAGAGACGTGAATAAAAACAAAAAGTATACATACAGAACACATACAGTGGATACGGAAAGTTTTGTGACCCCTTTAAATTTTTCACTCTTTATTTCATTGCAGCCATTTGTTAAAAATCAATAAAGTTAATTTGATCAATATCAAATGATCATAAGTATTGACATCCTTTGTGGCGACACTCATGTTTAACCCACATGCTGTCCATTTCTTCTGATCCTCCTTGAGATGATTCTGCTCCTTCATTGAAGTCCAGCTGTGGTTAATTAAGCTGATTTGGCTTGATTAGGAAAGGCACACACCGGTCTATATAAGACCTTACAGCTCAAGGTGCATGTCAGAGCAAACGAGAATCATGAGGTTGAGGGAAATACCCAAGGAGCAAGGCACTGTGGCAAGGCACAGATGTGGCGAAGGTTACAAAACAATTTCTGCAGTACTCAAGGTTCCTAAGAGTACAGTGGCCTCCATAATCCTTAAATGGAAGAAGTTTGGGATGACCAGAACTCTTTCTAGACCTGGCCGTCTAGCCAAATGGAGCAATCGTGGGAGAAGAGCCTTGGTGAGAGAGGAAAAGAAGAACCCAAAAATCAACATGACTGAGCTCCAGAGATGCAGTAGGGCAATGGGCGAAAGTTCCACAAGGTAAACGATCATTTCAGCCATCCACCAGTCGGGGCTTTATAGGAGAGTGGCCCAATGGAAGCCAAAAAACACATGAAGCACTCCCAGACAGAAAGAAGATTCTCTGGTCTTATGAGACTAAGATTTAACTTTTTGGCATTAATTCTAAGCTTTATGTGTGAAGAAAACCAGGCACTGCTCATCACCTGTCCAATATAATCCCAACAGTGAAACACGGTGGTGACGGCATCATGCTATGGGGGTATTTTTCAGCTGCAGGGACAGGACGACTAGTTGCAGTTGAAGGAAAAATGAATGCGACCAATAGAAAACCTCTTCCAGAGTGCCCAGGACCTCAGACTGCGCTGAATGTTGACCTTCACTGCTTGACACAAAACAGGATCAGTTTCAGACTTCATTCAGTTCAAACACCTGTCAATTAGGAACCAAAATTAGTTCAGAACTGTAACTTGCCACTTAATGAAGATACAAAGAATTGCACCTTCAAAATTTCAGCTATATCAAACAACTGGAAGTGGGTCAGGGGCATTACTTATTGAACGCCCATCATAGCACTGAGTTGATCTAACTTCAATAAACGCTCTGGACATTTCTCAGGGATTTCTTTGAAATCTCTCTAACACGGAAATTAAATGATAAATTAATGTTTAAGTTGTAGCTTTTTAAAAAGTTGGTACGCCTAGATGCTGGTAACTTCTGCACAGCTACTTGTTTGTCATGTAGTATTAATCATCATTATCTGGTCTTGGAGGCTAAAGCTGTCAGCTTCTCCCACAGCTACCAAAGCAACCCTTCACCACCTTAAAATAACTCCAATCTTAAAAATGCAATGACAGCTTATGTGAGCCATGTTCTGTAAAGCTTTACTCTGTCCTGACGATTAAATCGGCTGACTGTTGACAAAGAAACCTAGAATAATTTTCATGTAAATTCGAGGTAGTGACCTTTTTGTGTATAGCACTGATTTCTAGTTAAAGAAAGTTTAATTAATAAACAAAGAGACAGTCAAATGAATGTTTGGATGCAATCTCCTTCTTGTTTTTCAGATTTTGCACCTTTATGCTTTATGCGCTAGTATTTGACTATGTTTTATGGCCTAAAAACTGCCATTAATGCCCCCACCTGATGTATATTTTTAGTACAAGTGATACTTAAACTCGTAAGGTGTAGCAGACACATTGTGTTGAAGGAGAAGAAAGAAGTATGGAGTATGTGCTTTAATCCTAATAAATTGTTAACGTATTCTTTAGTAATAGTATAGAACTTTACTGATCAGTTCACATAGCTTTAAAATAGCATCTAGAGTGCCAGCCACCATTGTTGGCCAAAATGTTATCCTGAATAATCCCAGGAAAAACTGAGCACAGTGCAGATTGAAGCAAATTGCACCATATTAGAATGACTGTATTCATCTAAAAAAAGAAGAGGGAAGGGAAGTCACTAATGCTCTGGTGAAATCTAAGTGATTAGAATAATCTGAAACATTTACATCTGAGCTGTTTAGCTAATGCTCTTATCTGGAAGTATTTACAATGGCTGTGGTGGCCTTCCCTGGAATGAGCTTAAATAGTCTTTTTTTTTTTTTTTTGCTGAACCGTATTACCTCAGATTTGTACAAATGTAAATTAACTACATTGTTTCTCTTTGGGTTTGCATTTCTAGAAGGCATCACATCTTAACTAATGGAGAATAAGTCCATTTGGGAGTGTGTAATGATGTGAAAAAGACCTTTTTATTCTTTCTTCTTTTTTCTTTTTTTTTTTGTTCCTCCAAACATTTGGTCATTGCCTTTTTTAAAACATCTGCTGGACCGATTCAGCTATTCATAGCGTTTCTGTGTGGCTTTGTTTCAGCTTTTTCTACTCCCACTGCTCTGATTCATAAGTGGTAACAAAAATTGTGCCACAATTTAAAAAAAGGCTGTTCAACTTTTCCTATTATCAAAAAAATATATATATTTATATCTTGTTTTATAATATAGCTTCAAAATAATAAATCGTTTAACTAAAGACTAAATTATGGATTATTTAAAAAAAGAAATTAACAAATGAATTTAAGGTCAGTCTAATCTAGTCACAGGGTCATACTACTTTTCATGCAATAAAGTCAAATGATATCAAAAGGTAAAGGTTTATTTTAGGGTTGCAACTTTTTATTTTTATTGATTAATAATCAAATAGGTTCCTTAAAAAATTCTTTTAAAAATTCTACCAGGTGAAACTAAATTTTTCCACTTGAGGATTTCTGGATGGAACATATTGATTGAAATATTTAATATTTCTTTTTACAATTTTGGTATAATTGCTGCTCTGAGTGTGTTGATCTGTCAGCTAAAGTCTAAATCTCTATACTCCAGTTAACGATTAAATTAACTGGAATTATTTCGATAATCGGTTAATCACAATTAATCTGATAAATTGTTTTAGCTCTAATTTATTTAATCCAGCACAGCTGACAGAATTAGGCTGTTGACTTTGTAGTAAACCTTTACAATGGTAAATGGTAATTGGCATGCACTTATATTGTCTTTATTCAAATCAGGAGACTTGACCAAAGTGCTTTACACTACATTCATTCACCCTTTCACGCACACACTCACGGTGGCAAGCTACATTGTAGCCACAGCTGCCCTGGAGCTCACTGACAGAAGCGGGGCTGCCGTACACTGGCGCCACCAGGCCTTCTGACCACCATCAGTTGACAATGCAGGTGAAGTGTCTTGCCCAAGGACACAACCACACTGAAAGTCGGAGTCGGGGCTTGAACCGTCAATCCTTCGATTTCAGGGCAAACTCCTACATCCAACGCCACTGTCGCCCTGTTTAAGGATGCTTAAAAGGGGCAATTTGTGTGGTTCAGGAAGAAGTATTGAGTCAGGAGTACCTTGTATGTCAACAAAACACATAGCAAGAAAGTATGTTGCAGCTATAGACCCATCAACAGATTCATTTAGAAATTAGATGCAGCTAACAACGGATTTACAAAGCTACTTTCTACCTAAAAGGCCAAAAAGAGAATCAATTCAGGAAGAAGGACTGTTTAAATCTTGTTCTAATTGGCTGCTTTTACCAGAAAAAATAAAAAGGTGACACAATTACTGGATCAGGAGTACTATCTATGACATGGAGAAAAATAATCTAAGATTATGTTCTGATGTTCAGCAAATTCAAACTATGTTTTGTTTCCACAGGATGGTACAGAGGATTCATTCTAAAGAATCCTAATGTTAAGGTAAGCAAACTTGGAAGAAAAAAGCTTTTCTTCTTATTTGTGTAAATGAATATACATTTACAGACACCTTCAGACAGGAATGTCAAATTCACAAACTTAACTTATGCACAAACTTATCTTCCTTTTATCTGACATAATTTATTTCTGTAGAGGTAAATACTTTTATCTAGTTAAAATCATGGGATTCTGCTTAAAACAACATTTCTCATGAACTGTTTGAAGCAAGCTGACCAGATCTATTTTGGACCTTTACTTACACCTAATATAGCAAACATAAATATGCAAAATGTTCTTGCTACCTTTTTGAAAAGGTTTATATATTATGTACTAATGTTTAATAAGGTCATTATTACTCATTACTAATAGCAGGAGGGGAACTTCCATTGAAACTGTCATAGTTACATTCTGCTTCATAAAATACCTTATTTGGTAAATTTCTGTTTTTAATGTATTGACAGGCAGAAATAGAATCTTTGTGCACTGATTATGTATTTGAAATATGACATCCATATAAAGTCGGTCTTTAAGATTTGCTCCTGTTTATGACTAACAGGATGAATGTAGATATGTGGGTGAATGGGTTTATATAGACCAATGGTTTTCAATCTGGGTCCTAGGAACCCACTGTCCTGCATTTTTTGGGTATTTCCTTGCCTCCACACACCTGACTTTGATAAATGGATGACTAACAGGTCTCTGCAGCCCTTGATGGCTGCTAGGGAGGGAATGGAGTTATTTGGTGCAGGTGTGTGGGAGCAGCATCTAAAACATGTTGGACAGTGGGTCCTGTGGACCAGGTTTGCAAACCATTGATATAAATGGACAGACCGGGGGTTGGTTGGCAATGATGAAGAGATTATAAAAGAACATTAGAAATACCAATAGAGGGCTTTCAGAAGATGAAAAAACTGAATGGATATCCAGAAAAATTAACATTTAAAAAATATGGAAACAGTTGATAATGATAATTGAAGGACAATTTAGAACTGTGCGCTGAATTTACAGTTGAATATGTCAGTTTAATCTTGGCTTTAATCTTTTTATCGAGCAGCAGTTTATTGCTGTCCAACTATTTTTAGATTTGTTCTTCTTGTGCAAATACCGTAAACATCTTCGTCCTTTCAATTTTTTAATTCACACATATTCCAAAGTCTGAATTAATTACCACATAACTGTGTAATGCTAACAGTGCCAAATGATGCAGTGAGCATTTCAATGAACCTGTCTCTCCTCTTTTCAAAGGGGATCTTCCCATCCAGTTATATCCACCTGAAGAATGCCGTGGTGAAGAACAAAGGGTAAGAGATTTTACTCTAGTTTGCCGTTTCCATTCCTGAATGTAAGAGCTGGTTAAAACACAAATGTCTTCATTTTCAGGCAATTTGAGACAGTAATTCCCATCGAGGACTCAGTCATCACGGAGATGACGTCGACACTGCGGGAGTGGGGAGCCATGTGGAAGCAGCTCTATGTGGTAGGGATGATTACATGCAAACAAACCGACACAATTCCAATTTGAGTTTATTTGTGGCTTGGTGATTGGAAAACAGTTACGGCCCTTTTCCATACCCTCTCAATTGCTGAATTGATTGTGATAGTAGCCCATTAAGCTATCTGGGGGGCTGATTGAACTGAACTGATGAATGCTTTTAGATCGAAGAGCATAGATTCGCTACAGAAAGCAGCAGGAAACCTAAGCTTATTGGTTGAAATCCATTTTTTGCCCCTTTTTCACTGTAAAGATTACCTTGTCACTTAAATTGTCAAGGTGGGAACGTTTATGCAGTTGGATAGTTCCACTGTTTTCCTTGATATCAATTATCCTTATGCCACCATTTCCATTTACTCTGGAACATTACTGTCTCTGGCAGTAGTGTTTAAAAAGCCTTAGAAAGACATAAATCAATTTACAGGAAACATCTCAAAAAAGATTTCTGCACATTTATTAAGCAAAGGAAAACATATTTTTTTGTTTGATGCTAAAGTTATCTAACAAATTTTCTATTCAATTCTTGTGTTAATTGGACTCAAGGTTTGGAGCAAATCAACTAGGTGATGCAAAACGTAATGTAGTCATATGCTGGCGTTACGTTTGGTTGTAATAAACAGGAAGTTAGGGTAGTAAAATAGCACGAACCACAGTAATGGAGCAAGGTTTTGACAAAGCTGATCATGTGACATGAATATTTGCTAAATCCTTTTTAGCGCATTAAATCTTTTTTGAAAATGTCAAAAACTATCTGAAGTGTGTTCAGAAACTTTCAAACATTCGAATTTTGCTGTTTCCTTCAAGCGCTCAAGCACATACTTTAAAATGCAGTTAAAGGACAATTAACATGTCAACATTTCTTATAAAAATCAACAACTAATGCTCTTGCCATTTCGTTTTAGCTATTTAAGTTTAATTAAAGTCTCTTTTGTTTCTCTTTTTTGAGTTGCTGTTTTCCTATGTATAAATTTAAGGTTATACAGAGGTCCATATCTCTGAGGTACTCTTCAAGATGCGAAAGATAAGTGAAGATCGCATTCAAGTAAGGAAAGGACGATTATCAATAGTCAACAAGCTGCTTAGGATCTAAACATGTGCTTGGTTACAATCAGATCAATGACTGAAATGTTTAAAACTAATTGTTACTAAGAAATGACCGAAAAATGGCAAAGACGCTGGATAAACTGAATCTATAAAGTTGCAGATAATCAACTAAAGAATTACATTTTGGGTCATTAAGGCTACGTCAAAAGGCTGGCCTTAATGCGCAATTCAGATTTTTTGGTACATCCGATTATTTTGCTTGATCATTCACTTTTCCAAATATATGTGACTTTTATGTGATTTCCTGTGTGAACTGCATTCACAGAACTTAAGTGTCCCCCATGCGCAGTATAGGAGGCAATGACGTCACAAATGAGCATGCTCTGCGTTAATGGAAGATAACATGGATGGTAGAGCTTGAGCGCATTTTGGAATCTTTCATTTCTTTCCCAACCTCCTTTTTAAGAAGGCTGACTTTAAAGACTGCTCTCCGCATTATCATCTGCCATGGTTGTTGTTTTTCCTTTCTTGACTTTGTTGAGTATTAGTAACGTTCAGGTCAGTTGAATGCAACCTGGCCATTCAGACACAGGTTGCATTTAAAAAGGTCAGATTCAGGACCACATAGCCAAGTGGCATAGTTCGCATTGGGAAAACTTGGATCTGTGTAGTTAAAAAGATCAGATACAGGTCGCATATGTACAAAAAAATCGGATTTCGGTCACTTAAGGCTGCAACAGTGAGACACCATCCAGTTGTATCTGCTTCTTTAGGAAGAAAAAAAAACGTTTTTCTGTGTCTTACCAGCAGTCCTATAAGGATTTAAAGTTAACTAAATGTTCCTTAGATAAACTCAATGTTTTAGTTTTGCACAAAGGTGAGTATGATTGAGCATTCTCCTAATCAAAATGATATTTTTAAAAAAATGAAAACTGTTTGACTGCTTGAATTCTATAACTTACCGTAAATTTTTAAACAAACATATGTTAGACCTTTTGCCCACTAAACAAATATGTACTGAGACTTATTACTGGGATGCCAATGAGGGTGAATTCCTGTCATGTTTGCCTGTGTCTCATCTCGGTGTTTCTCTTTCTCTTTCTCCTTCCTCTCCATCACTTCCACCTCCTACAGAAGAATGAAGGAGATTTATTCCATCGGCTCTGGCATGTAATGAATGAAATCTTGGACCTGAGGAGGCAGGTACTGGTCGGCCACCTCACTCACGACCGGATGAAGGACGTCAAACAGCACATCACGGCGAGATTGGACTGGGGTAACGAGTGAGTATCTGACTACTGGCGATGTCTTGCATAGAGGCACTGAGATGTTGAATTTCATTGGGTGAGCTCCAGACACAAACAGCAGGGTTGAATTTAGAGCATCCATGAACTGACAGGGTTTTTTATTGCAACCATAGTTGTTATATTTTTAACCCTCTGCATGCATAGTGAGCAATGCATGCAAGGTGTTATCTTTAATAGGTCTATAAAAAACAAAGGAAAGTTGCTTTATTTTATTTTTGACAGCTTTTTAGGTATTCTGGTTTATCTTTTGTCAAGCCATCCTCTTTTCATACAAAAATAAAGAAAGAAAGAAATAAAACAGTTTTTTTTTGACAACCCTGGAGTGAATAAAGTCTGCACCAGTCTCACCTGTCCACAAGACTTGTTTGTCTGAAAAATTTCAAGGTTTTTTGTGAGAACAAGGTGAGATTTTCTTCTGATAACATTTCCATGAAGGTCACACTCCTGCAGAGTTCAGCTAAATCTTTGATTTTTCTCTCCCTGCAATCCCATGAGCTGCTTATAGTCAGGTTTTTTTCTGTCTTGCTTACTTCATTTTGACCTTCATTGCTTCTGTTTTCCGCTTCTTCTTTAGTTTCTTATCTAATCAAAGCTGTTGGACTCTTCTGCTACATTGGCATCAATTTTGCATAATCTGAGGGCAGCTCAAGTTCATTGAGGTGAAATATTTGGAATACAATTATTCTTAAAAATTCATCCGTTGGGTCCTACATGTTTAATTAAGATTTACACCTCAGGCTTTCTTTTTCTCCAATATATTGACAGGTCATTTTTGCATTATCAAAACAATAAAGAAGTTTGTTGCCTGGATTTTCTTGGGATTAGCAGGTAGACACCCTCCCAAAAGTAGCTATACAGATGACATAGAGACGTAGATATAAGGAGAGATGCCTACTCAACCCTGCTGTCAAGGCCAAGCTTGGAACCTGGCCAGTCATGTTCTGATTTATTGAGTTGTGTTCTGCTGTTTGTCTGGTTTATGACATATTTTTTCATGCATTCAATATGGCTGTAGTAGGTATATTGGACTGTCTTTTTTACCAATGCACATTTAATGGGGGCTCAAATAAAGATGAACTTGAACTCCCGAGTTAACCAACCCGGGGGACTATAGTCTGGAGGAGGTATAGCTATGATTTTCTTATGAAAGGCAGCAATTCAGCTGCTGAAAATTTGCAAGTTGATATCCTGTCTGAGGTTTGTTGGGGATACATGGAATATAGGATGTATCTACAAGGAGAGAGCATTTGAAATGCAGAAGGGATCTGCTGTAATAACAGATCTGGCAGCAGCCAGTGAAGGTGGGACTCCCAGGACTCATGAGCTGCAATGGAAAGTAAAGTTCTCTCAGTTTGAAGATAACACAGAAACTTAGGGCAATTTATGTGAGATTATTTTCAAATAGCCATGGGGATGCAGGATGCACTTTATGAGGTTCTGTTTGTAAATGTGCTGCAAGTTCAAGCATTATCAGCTTCTCTACCAAAAGATGCCATTGTCCTCGGAGAATGAGGATGTACCAACAGATAAGTGCAGGGCACTATGCAAAACATTTATGACATGATACTAACATGCTTGATTAATCCTAAGGGCTTTTATGAATTAATGCAGCTTTAAATTTGAGAGCAGCTATAAGCGGGCATTAAGAACCACAGCTACCAGTACAAAGTGGTGCCCACAGCAGTTGCTTGATTACCCTTAACAAAGAGTGCCGTATCACAGTTAGATTTGACTTTGTTGGCACAAAATGGGAAGTAAAGTCTGACAGTTTGTCAGAGCGACATATCCTGTCTTTCAATAATAATTTTCAATATTTGTTCATGGGAAATTGTGTTTTATTTATTTATATTATTTATTTAGTCTTCTTCATACCAGAGAGCTCTCAGTGTTTTAAGGAACTGTCCGCTTATGAATTACTCAGTTGATCAAATTATACAACTTTAGATTATCTCGTTATCTCTACTACCGAAACTCATGTATAGTACAGTGGTAGACATTGTCTGCCAGTGTCACTACTTGGCGGCCATTCTGGATAACATTTGAGCAAAAGATGCCATGTATGAAAATAAACAACATATGGCTGTTTTTTTTTTTTTTCTTTAAATAAAATTTAATAGTTATAACATTGATCTCTTCCTTTAAAAATGCTTTCAGTTTTCTTTCTTTGAATTGATTTGACCTTTTGGAACAGTGTGCCAGCGAGGCATCGTCAACATGGGTAATAAAACGAGGTTGATGGACATTGTTAAGGACTTCACAAAAGATTCCTGGTGTTGATTTGAAAGAACTCAATCAGGTCGCTCAATCCTTAAAGAGCTGTGGCATCTTTGCCAGATCAACTTAAGGCTACTTCTATCAAGAAAAAGGTTGACTTACGCCCAAAGGGCGAGATCAAACCAGACCTGAGGTGTTTTAATCCTTTCAGCTGTTGGGCTTTTGAATTATTCTAAATGAATTGAGCTGCCTGGACTCCTGACATGCTGTGTGTAGACTTTGTGGACTCTGCTGCAAGTAAATTGCACCTTGGGGGCAAAGTATTGAACAGTGAATAACCTATGAACATTGTTCTTGTTTGAAGTGGAGCTGTCAAAAGTAATAAACAGTGAGGAGAAAGACCCCTGTGAGGTTAGAAGAAGTGTAACTTTAATGTTGTCTTGATCTATGTTTATTGCATTTATTACTCATTTTAACAAGGATTTAAATATTATTGGGGTTATCAGCGTACTCTGTTTTGAAAGGATTCAGGAAACTGATATTAAGGAACACTTATGTTGAGATGTGGTTGCCGATTTCTATTCATGGTGGTTTTTCACTAATCTGGGAGGAAACGAGGATTTTAAGAATAATCTTGATATTTATCTCTTCAAATTATGGTCTTGTTAATCCCAGTATTTGGGTTCAGCTCAAATATTCCTTTAAAAAAAATTATAATTTTCATTTTCCCTGCCTCTGCTTTTTTTTTCTTGCACATTTCTGCAGCTCTTTTATTGGTTTCCAACTTTCCACACTTGTCACACGTCTGTCTTCAGTTTCACCTCCCCTGCCTGCAAGCGCACTCCTCACTCAATCAAATCGCTCTCACAGAGCCAGCACTTGCTCCATCCCTCCTGCTGCTTTTCCTCTCCTATCTCTTACTGCTCAATGCTGATGGCTTAAAGAATAGAAAGAAAAGCCCAACTCATCTCATATTCTTATTGTGCGTGCCCTTACTTTTCTTCATTCTCCTGCTGCTGGCTGTCCTCAAACAGGCAGACATCCATCATTAGTGAGGGCACTGTTTGGAGAGTCTCTCTCTCCACGGGCCTTTTTCCTTTTATTGCTGCAAAGGAGACATCTTGAACTGGATGGTGCTGGTCTAAACCACAGGAGAAGAATGATAAAATGCTGGCTTTAACCTCCTCATTCCCATAAGAGCTGAGAATCAAGGATTGAAATGCACATAAACTGATATGCGTAAATGCTAAGAGGTGTAAAAGGAAGTCAGAATGTAAAGGAGTGGAATAGATCTGTCAGATGAACTTAAAAGCCCTGATAGAAGTGACACCAGTCCTATTGATGCTCAGCCCTGCCTACAATTCAGTGAAAATGAGTTCTCCTCATAATCTGTGTCTGATTTGTTTGATTTATCTGTGTGTGTTTTAGACAACTTGGCTTGGACCTGGTGCCCCGGCGGGAGTTCAGCATGGTGGACCCAGATGAAATCAGCGTAACAGAACTTTATAGACTGGTGAGGATTTTTTTTATGTTCTTCAAAACCTCATTCATGGTTCAAAGGGTGTTGGTGTTTTCATTCTTTAATACTCTACCTTATTTTACTGATACTGCCTATGTAAGATTTGTATGTCAAAGTCCTGGAATGATTCCGTTTTTGCACTTATGTTAGCAACGCTGATTTATATCCAAAGTCATATAAAAGTCAGTTGTATGTCACAATCAAAATCTCCCAATTAAGTCAAAAATATCATACAATTAAAATGAGTTAAACTCCATATCAATAGGTGACAGTATGGCTATTTGGCTCAAGACTTTGATATCTAGTTTTTTATTAAACATAGAGAAAGCTTAAACCTAAAAAAATAAATACGCCTTCCCTGGGAGGTATTCCAGGCACATCCCACTGGAAGAAGGCCCAGTGATCATGGATCACTACTTTTCAAGGTGCATTGTGGAAAATTTTCAGTCCACTACTTTTTCATCCAATAGATGTTCGGACACTCATTTATAAGGGCTTAAGCACTATATAGTGCCCTACATAGGGATTAGGGATCTTAGATCTAGTTCTTTGAATATGGTTTGGAGTCGTACAGAGGTAAAATAAATTTGGGTTTTGATCCTCACTGTGGAATCAGCATCAGTGTTTTCCTCCAAGAGCGGCATTTGGAGCAGCGTTTCTATTGGACGGAGTCACCTTTCCTTGCGTCTGCTTCAATATTTCCCTCCTTCCTTTTCCCCCTGCTGTTTCCTTCACCATTTTTCCTACCCGCCCTCTCTTGAACCCCATCCACTGTTACCGTGGAAACCACTCTTCTGCTCCGTAACGGAATGAGGGGCGAATTATATCACACACACTCTCACACTGTGTCGGCTTTTGCTTCAGAGAGGGGTAATGAAGGCTCTTAATCCATCTGTTTCGTTTCTGTTGTTTGCCGAAACAAAGCAGCCGTACCAGGATGAAAGCAGAACAACACACCTCTGTTTACAAAATGAGCAAATGACTGCAATTCCCCACTATAGAGAGGCAAGATTAAAAGAAAAGCACTCATTGCAAACATCAGTGCATAAAGACCCTGACATGAGATTATATAAAGGCACAATAAAACATCTAATGATCCCTGATTACATTAGTATTTCTCAGTGAGATTATAAGTCATGGGAGAGCCTTAATTTATCTTTTGTCTGCTTTGGTATTTTGTTGCGAGTACAATAGAGATTATTTCTTTATATAGACAATACAAAGTAAATGACAGCTTTATAATTCTAACTATACAGGGTTGCAACTGTACGGACGAGGATTAGGGCCACTGAAAAAAAAAATAAAATGCTAAAAAGTACACAGACACACAATGGCAGAGTAGTAGAATAGTTTTTTCTAATAAGTTACTTCTATACTAAAACAAAAAAAGTTAATCTTCAACCAATAATCTGACTATTGCTCCATTGATGGAAAAAAATCGGAGACATTGGTCCAAGAATATAAAGTAAAATCATATGCCCCCTGATCACCACCTGACTACCACATTATTATATCAGTAAGTTTAGACATCTTGATCATAAAAGTTGGATTTTTCTTTAGAAGCTACTAACATCTCGCATCACGGAGTTGTACACTCTAATGCTTTGCCTTTGAAAATATGTTTTTCAGCTTTTCTGTACTTATTCAGATAGAAAACGAAAACCATGCAAGATTTTGGCTTTGGGGAACAGATAAACGGATTATTCAATATCAGAAAAGCTTGAGTTTGATTTGCAGTTTGGTTTATTATATTGGCTTTATCTTGCTTGCAAGAAAAATGTAAAAAATTTGTTTTATGTTTATTTGCTTTTACTTCTGTTTTTCAGATTTTGTCTTCCTTTATTTGCAAAGAAACAGGAAACTTTTTCAGCGAAAGAAACAAAACATTTTAAAGACACTAATTGCTTCCCTATTCCCAGCCGTAGTTTGTTTTGGCTTATTCCCTGTTGCCCAAATGCAATTGGATTTCAAACTTCCTTCTTAGTCCTTGGAGACTGAGATCAGTTTATTAATTTTGGTGGATCATGTAGCAGTGATGGATCACTCAGACCTGGCACAGGACATAAGCTGGCAAAGCCTCTCCTTTGGTGAGAGAAAGACAGCGCTCTCCAAGATTTTTGGCTCCCATACTAAGACAAGTAAACAGCCTAGTAAGAAAAAAACATTAAAAAGTACCGCAGTGCCCACATGTTTTCTCAGTGTAGTCTTTTTTTTTTTTTTTATCATTGTGTCGATTATTACTTATTTACTTTTATTAAATTGCAGGTTTGCTTGTTTTTTTCCTTTTGTCTCATCAAATTTATACCAAGAAAAGGAATTGTTATAAGTTAAGAGTAACAAAATCCACCATCTCTATGGAAGTATTATTTTTACACTATTTTGAATTGGTTCAAAACACAGCCAAAAGGATCTTAATAAGATGATCTGCCAATAGAAAGAGTATGTTTAACCTTAAAATCTGATAATTGGATATTATTCACTTGAAATAATAGAGTACAATTGTTTAATTCTTATTTTAAATGTAAATTATGTTATTCCATTGGTAGAATCTCACTTACTTGCTCAAATCAAGAAAAAAAAAGATTTAATTTAAGAAAAATTTACTTACTTATATTTCAATTATTTGTGTAATATGTCCTCCTACAAACTGTCCCATAGATGCCGTTTTGCTCAGTCTCTTAGTTTCATGGAATCAAAAACACTGATTCTGATTGAAGCAAGTGAAACCTGCAGGGCTTTGAATGTTGTTCGAAGTGATTTTTGGACTTCTTAGAAGAGTGATAGATTTACTTTTGGAGTGATTTTTTTAAGGCTGACCACATTGGAAAGGTTCACCATTACTTCATGTTTTTCTCCTTCACTGTGGTTCACTTGGGTCCAACACATTAGAAATAGCTGTGTAACCCTTTCTGGGCTGATTTATATAGTTCATAATGTCAAAAGGGTTCTGTTTTAGTGAGTTCTGATTCTACCACTGTTATACTCTTAATATCCTGAGTAATGTAGTACCTTTCAGAAAAATTCTTCTTACAGAATGGATCTTTGTAAATTCTGCAGCTGGCTTTTACAACTCTAAAGAGAAAGGTTTGTGGATGCACTTCCACCCATGTTAACTGTTTGGTCTTACATACTGTTACTTACATACAAAGGATGTGCATGGGCAATATGCAATTTGTGTATGGTAATCCGTCAAAAAAAAACTGTATATACAGTAGATGACTTATAGAAATGTGGTAAAAAGAGATGATAAGAAGTTTAACAGGTTAGTTAGTAGTACATTATTTTTCTTTTATGTTAGTTTGACCTGTTCCTTCCATGCCTTCTCTAGGTTTTTTAGCTTCTTGGTGCACTTCACACAGTTTCAGAAATTCCTAAAGAAACAAAAGGACAAAATTACATTTGCCTGTCCAGCTGTATCCTGTCCTATTCCTGTCTTGCCATTGGAATGCCAGTCTCTTGAGTCTTTTCTCTGTGCCAAGTCATGCAGAAGCTGACACATAACCACAGACCGTTCCCATCAGGCAGCCTAAATGACACACTGAAAATAACATTGTAATAAAATCCCAAAGCATAAATTAGGCTTTCCCCGGAACTAGTCATTTTACGTCAAACCCAGCAGTTTAGACTTGTTCTGTGTAGCAGAAGCACTGATCCCTTAAAGACAGCATGAGTTTTTTTTTTCTTAGGTCATTCTGCCAGAAGGTGTCTATTTATGGGGTCTAAGTCAGACAGAGAAGACAGGACTTAACAAAACATACTTGTCACTTTGATTGGTGTTATTTTTAAATGATTTACGAGCGCATTTTTGCTAGGGTCTCATGTGAATAAGTGGTTTTTCAATTATCGGTTTATAACATCTACTCCAAAGACTATTCTTTTCGTACGTTATTGTTATCCTCACTGTTTAAGTCAGATTTACTTGCATGTCTTCAGCCTTTCTAAGTTCTTGTCAATAAAGTGACCAGAAATCAGGGGAAGTCTACATAAAACTAAGATATTTACTTCTAAGGTGTCTGATTTTCTGAAGGCTCTTTTTGCTTTAATCACATAAAGCAAATAATCGATCCGCAATTAATAAATCTCTTGATAATTTCCCTCCCTGCTGAATTCGGGAGTTTACTTTCCGAGTTTTGTCTTGGAAACAACAAAACTGCAACTTGAAGCAAGAATGCTAACGGGGAAATAGGTTTTATTTTGTTGATTATAATGGCCAACATGCCAGAATGCATTGAAAGTCACATCTCATTACTCTACTGGCCCACACATATAGTTGTGTAAAATTTAATTTTCTTTTACATATAAAGTCATAAAATTAGAAATGCTAATTTTGTAAAACTATTAATAATTGGCTTTAAAAGTAATCTTGAATTCCACTGTTGATTTTGACTTCAGGGTTTTCTGCTTGGTGTATTTGCCAATGCCAACACTGTAACATCTGGATTTTTCAGCTATTTATAAAGCAGATGCTTGTTTACACCAGAAATGGAGAAAGGAGGTGCTGTCCCACTATTGGTATGAAACATGCACTTTTCGTATCATATTTTATTTCTGCTGTAAAGACATTTTATTTTTGATGGATTGCCCACTACATTTATTTCCCCGTAAACATTTGTAGTTCTCTGCATAGAACTGCAATTATAGACATTCAGAGAAATATCTTAACATAGAATTGCATTACATATGTTTTGTCCATATGTCTATATGTATTTTTAAATGTTTATCATAAGTTTAGATATTTTTAAGATCACTGCAAAAAATTGAAATCTAAATAAGTAATTGTTTTCTTAAATTAAGTCAATTTTTCTTGAGTTGAAGCGGTAAGTGAGCCTCTTTGCCAAAAGAACAAGAACATTTACATCAAAAATAACAAAAAATAATTGCATTGTCTAATTTTAAGTGCATATTATCTAATGATCCTATTTTACGAGTAAAATACTTACTCCAATTGCACATCATATTATTTACCTGCTCAAATGGAGGTTTAATACACCTAATTTAAGACATTTTTACTGATTTCTTCTTTACTGATCTTGGCTGGTCTGAGACTAGCTAATAACTTTGGCTAAAAAAGGAAAAGAAATTGGAATAAATGAAGAAATCAATTGTTATTTATTGTGAAATGTTCAGTGTTTATATCCTTTGAAGGAAAATTTTATTAAAAACTCCTGATCTCTCCCTCTATGGTCTTGCCTCTGAGCTTTCCATTATGAGCGTGTAAAACTGGCTGAATTGATAAAAATGGTACAATGATTATTTTAACAGGAAATAAAAGCTGAATAAATTTTTTATGGAACTTCTGAAGGACAAATGGTTCAAAAATTTTTCAGCAGCAAAAAAGCCAAGGTTAATTATTTCAACACAGAAAGTATACAACAGTGTAGAATCAGATGAAGCAGGTATCTCTCGCCGTGTTTTCTGCTGTTTTTAATGCACCTTCATTTTTTATCTCATCTACCACCTCTTGAATCCTGCCCCCAACCCCAACCATCCTGTTGTGTTTTCATATAGTCAGTGAGTGTGAGACATCATTTGGCAGTACCTCTACTGACCATCTGGTGCTGCTTGTGTGTGCGTACACGTTTGTGTGTCATATTTTTGGATGCTAACAGCAGACTGGGATAAACCTCTCATGCTGTGAAGTTAGCTGTAATGTGCATGTTGATCTAGATGGTAATTAAAAAGCTATGATGCAATCCTAAGTCTTACTGATGTTTTCTATATATCCTGACCTAATATAGGGTGTAATGACCACATCCCGACCACACTGAGATGTGACATTTACCTGCTGTTAATCACCACTCTTTTGCTGCGTTAGAAGACCATTACTTAATGTTGTTGAGGATATAATTGGAACCTTTTAAAAAATTCAGTATAAAGGTTACTCTTAAGTCATATAAGGTGCTCTTTTTTACATTTAATGGTGTGAACACATTTTTTCAAAGGCCCTAGCTTCCTTTTGCACTAAGAGGGAATTTACATTAGATTTATATTTATTTAGACTACTTTTCTAATTTAGAATTTAACATCTTTGTCTTGTTAAAACCTTAATGTATTTTACAAGGGATGCACTTATTGATTAAATAAGTTTCTCAAATAATACCTTAATCTAAATAGATATAGTTTAAGTAAAGTTATATTTCTAAAAAAGCTTAATTTGGAATATAGAGAGAAGAAAAACATATTGCACATTTAGAGTGAACTGCAAATGGAAAGAAAATTGAAAAATATATACATAGATTCAAGCCTTAATTGAAACATGTGATGTATTTCACATTTATAAATGCTTAGATGTTATATTTTTACAGTTTTGTCTTCACTACTGATTAAGGTTATTCATTCAGCAAAGGACATTTTGTCTTTGTATCAACACCCTTAAGTAATGATTAAATTACAAAATTAGTTGATGAACATTTCAGTAATCAGTTAATAATTATTAATCTGGTTCATAATTTCAGCCCTAAATTTTACTAGGTTCTTTTGTGTGACAATTGAAAAAGCAGATTATAGATTTAAATAAAGGCTTTTTGGATTTTGATAACTTTTACACTGTAGATCACAATTTTGGAACAAATTGTGGTTATTTTTAACATGAACAGCTGTGAAATTATAATTTTTCAAATCAAATCTTGGTGCAGGGGAGATTTTGCCCATTTTATTACTGAAAACGGTTGAGATTCAGACAGATTCGGTGGAAAACACATGCTGCTTCCATATTTTAGTAGCGATGGTTTTGTTTTAATGCCATCCACTGCAGTTAGCATGTGAGTTCGATTTGGGTCTCATTTAAACAGGGTAGGCATACCCATCTCCACATGTTTGGTTGATTTCTTTAGAGGCTTATTATAAACTCCGCCCAGAACGTATTGTTGCCATATTGTGAAGATCAATAGCCATTACTTAGTAACCTATTTTTGGATATGATACATAATACCCAATTCGGACCTTCAGATCTCAGCATATTGTTTTATAGCCTAACCCTGACCTGTATTGTGTTTTCCTTGTTGCTTCGCTTTATGGAGCTGCATTTATACTGAAATAAAGCTACACACAGCTGGGAAATTGATAGCACCTTATTTTGTGTGTGTATATATATATATATATATATATATATATA